ATCAAATCTTGTCTTGCTTTTAAAAGAGTCTCTGTGCAATGCTAACCTGCATGTTTGCTGGGGTGTGTGAGTATAACAGGGAATTACAGAGACCAGTGAGACTGGGACCGTACAAATGCTCTAACATCATTGATGTTTATGAATAAAATAATGATAATAAAAAGCACATTAAAGAAAAGTCCTAAATCCTTCCCAAAGGACCAAATTTAATTCTTCGGGATTTGGCTGTTGACACCACAAACATCATCTGATGACTACTATGGCCACAGCTGCAATTATCATGTAAAAAGGGTTGGTTGAACCAATCACTCACTACTTACATCCCAGAGACTTTGAGGACGCTTTTTCTAGGGGTTAAGGTTAGGGTCATATCTAACACCAAATATTTATTTCTTTTGGGTTTACTGGGACTAGATTTAAGTCTAGATTTTTTTTTGGATATAAAAAACTTTAAAATAATTTAATAATTTTAATCTGGCCTTTTATTTTTGTAAAACATTCAGCAAAGATCTGAGTAAATCTGTTCAATTCTACATTATAAAACTGGATCATGGAATTTCAAGGCAGAAAATATGATGTGCAACACTATACAAGACATTCTACTTCTCATACATAATTACACAGCAATTGTCAAACTTAAGAATGTTAGTTGAGACTGACTCACACTTGCATGTCTCTCATTGGCAGTTAAATCATGCATCACCATCCTGACCAAAACTCGCTCAAAGTCTCCGCAGAAAGACAGGGAGGGGAGAAAAACTTGTTCATGTTCAAGTTTTCCAAAGGAGACAAGGTTTGAATAAAGATAACCCATGAATGAGAGAAGGAACGCCCAAAAACCACATCCCACACAACAGTCTGAAGACTAACAGCTCAAACATGGAGATCTAAATCCACAATGTGGTGGTATTAAACAGAACGCGGTGGATGACAGCAGTTGAAAATATAGCTTTTCTACATGTTTAAAGCTTGCTGAACAACTTATTGACTTTTTACTCGCAAAGGTTTTGATTACACTTCAGTGCTACGAGTAAAGCTGTTCTTCACTGCCGCCTCTGTGCTGACCACTGTGTCAGAGAGGAGAGGCCTTGAAAACCCTGTGTGAATGCATAGCGCATGTAAAAAATTCATTGTGCTTCATGTTTTTATTGCACATGTTCATATCGCAATGACAATGAAAATATGATTTATTGGTCAGCACAACTTGGCAACTGGCCTAAATTCAAATTTAAGATCAAAATGTATAAAAGACTGCCTGATTCAGATTCATTTCTTCATAGCTAGATAGAACATAAAGCAGAACATCAAAACATTGTAAAAAAAAAAAAAAAAAAAAAAAAAAAAAAAAAAAAAAAAAAAAAAAGAACAAAAAAATGTTCTTAGTCATTTCAATAGGAGGTGTGTGTTTAACTTGGCTCCTGAATGTTGTTTTGGTTGACTAGGCTCCCACCACATCAGCAATCACAGGTAGCGAAGTGAAGAAACAATAAACATAACCGCTGCCTGGTTCCACACAGACCTGAACCTGATATGGCCATGCAGCCTTTTTCTGAACTGAACACTTTCTGACTTAACTGCAAGGTATTTTAATTCCTGTTCAGATTGCTTGATGTCATTAATCTATAAAGTTATCAATAAAGCTATTTGAAGACCTAGAAGAAGTAATATTTCAGCAAGGATAAATGACTAATTCCTTGCCGTCTCTGTCAAGATCCAGAAACCCTCTCCATCATTTCCTTCCACGCTCGCTGCCCTGCGTCTCCTTACTCCCCTTTCCAGTTGCCTGCTAAATCAGTTCCTAAAGCTATGCAGGGAAATATAGCGCTATCATCAAACACACAGACTCATGCAGGAGTCCTTACTTTCAAAACAAGCCTGAGGGGGAACTCTTCTCTGGGCTACGTAAGTTTGATGATCAGACAGTGAGACTTCAGTTCACACACCGGCAGAGATTACTCGAGAGGCAAGCTGAGATACGGGCGAGAATGGCACGGGCCAGAAAATGAACTGGTGAGCAGGAGATCACTGCAGAGTCTTGTGTGGAAACTGTGGAGTTAGGAAATGAAAAAATACAGCATTTGGGATTGAGGTTACAGATGAGAGCATGATAACAATGTGGCCATGTTACACACTGTGGCTCGGGGCTGTAGGTGAAACATAACAAGAGCTGGGAATGGTGTGATAAGAACAAGGCTCTGTCTTTACAGTTGGAAAGGGAGAGTATGGCTGAGACCTATTAAAGCCTCTAACACTGAGAGTTTGGAGCGCTGCAGAGATGGAGATGCAACTGCAGCACCATGAAGAGGCATAAATGAAAAGATCCGAGCCTCTCCCGCAGGTTGGAGCGCGTACACTGTAACAGAGCTGGAGCTGAGGGAAGGAGGAGGTCTGCAGGGTGCATATTCTCCACTCTGACCCCAACATTCCTGGAAACAAACCCCTCTCTCTATTCGCCGCACCTCATCTTCCCACATTTTTTGCATACCAGCACATGCTGACACGAAAGATGAAATCCACAACCAAATGTGCAGAGGTCTTAGCAGAGGTTAGTGATACTTGATAACATAAGCAAAGTCATATCTTCTCAAGAAAGTATGACCACTATTTTTTTAAACCTTGGTAAAATTCCACAGATTTCAGCTCAGTGAAAACACAATGCAGCTTTCAATTTAAGACACAAAACAGGCCCCCCAGTCCTTTCAACTGGGTTGGCCACGCATCCCCTTTTCTACAACATACTGACCCACTTATTCAGCAACCCCCGCTGCTATTATTGTGTGAAACAAACTCATCATTCATTATCAACTGAGGTCCACAATTACCCCCACTCTTTGAGGGCAGAGAAAGAAGAGGGGACACGACGCAACTCAGGAACGGCAGCTCATTAGATTAGTGATGGCTTGCCACTGCAATTAACTAGTATACAGAGCAATTTGGTGCTCCAGTTTCCAGCATTCTTGTCCGCATGGGCCGCTCTGGTCAGCGCAAACTTCAGGGCCACACAAAGAAGGAGGCAACACTTTTTTTGATAATTTTTCTCTGTCTGACACTCTTACACAAAATAAAACATGTAGCTCAGACTACTGGCCACATGCTGTGAACATTTTGGACTTCAAAAGGCTTTCGATTTCATGGTGATATTTATCTTACTATTTTGCAAGATCTGTTTTAGCTTTTTCGTTTATCATGGTGTATTTTCATTACATAGGTAACCATAATATATAATACGTAGATATTTGCTGATTTACTATATCTTATCATCCGTTTGCACATTACCCAAACATACACAACATATATAAATAGATACAGCATAAATGGTGCCTGTATAGCGGAATTTGAGTTAATGTTTCTACTGATAATAATTGATAGGTACAGTCTTCTAATCTACAAATGTCTCACAAAGTCTAACCTGAAGACAGAACATTAATTCAAAGACATAAAGGAAAGGCTCCAATGAGTGAGATCTATTTTATATCTTAAAAGAAAGACAAACAATGACTTCATCTCGCCAAGTGTTTACAAAGCACTAAGGGTAAACCCCTGATGACATACTCCCTCGGGGGAGCTGTACCTCTGTTTAACAAAGAGGAAATGTTCTCATAGACTCTTGCTGCACAGCACTGCTGCGGACCCCCAACAGGCCTGCAGGAAGCCGAGAACAAGGACAACTTCCACTCTTTGGGACAAACAGGACACACGTGAGTCCTATTGAAAACAATGTGTTTTCAGTCCTTTCAGTGTGCTGTCCCCTGCCATGCACTGCTGCCCGTCTCATCTGAACTCACCTCCCTCCATTTTCAAAACAACAGTTGACAGATCCTCCCTGCTTTCTCTAGAAATAAATATACTTCTGATCATTTACATTCAAATAATGGCAGATCTATCACAGGTACTACTCTCCTAATAATTTCTAAATCTTAATGTGTAGCTCTTCAGAAGTTTATTTTTTGCCACTATTGTAAAAATAAAATGAAAACTGTGTATACTATAGTGACCTTGATAGTAAAGCAGTAGCATTTTCATATAAAGATAAATGTTGTTAAATATTATTATCAAGCATCATTCTTCCTGTTCCAAGAGGAACAAGCTGAGATAAGAAAACACCTTCACACTTCACTGGCAAGACAGACTTCCCATGAAAGATGATGACGAGCTACATTGGACTGTTACATAGTGTTTCGTTTTCATTTTGTCACTTTGTTCTGTTGACGCAGCTCAAGTGAGTTAACTCAAGCATAGCTTAATTTTTACTTGTGTCATTTGAAAAAATGTCTCACTGCTGTAGTTGAGTCGCCTATCCCATGACGATCAGTATGTTTCAACTACCTTGTTTCCGCAGTGCAATTATATCACCATAAAAAACTGGGAAGTTTATGTTCTTTATAAACAGCGTCTCTCTACAAGCCTGCAAAACCAAATCATAGAATTTCTGAATTGTGATTAACACTGCAAAACTATCTGCTCATCACATTATAAAAGTATAAATAAAATTCAAAGGATTAACATAAATGTGGGGGTGACGCTGCAAATATTGAAAAGCAAACTGGCGACTGGCTACAGCTGAAGGAGACTGAAGAGTTGTAGGCTACGTACAGGCCTGGGAAATCATGTTGGATGTTGCATGTTATTCTGGATACATTGAATCTTGCCTGTTTTAAAATCAGAGCAACACCCAAATTTCTCATGACTAACATATAGTACAACTTTCTACACACACACACACACACACACACACACACACACACACACACACACACACACACACACACACACACACACACACACACACACACACACACACACACACACAAACACAAACACAAACACACACACAAACAGTTACAGCTCCCCTGATGAGCCGCTTATCTCCACACTCCTCTGTGACAGGGTGTGTTTCTGGAATGGGGGAGGGTGAGAGCAAAGGAAATGAGGAGGAGGGAATGCAAGGAGTCAAACTGGAGGGAAGGGGAGTAAGGGGAAACAAACGAGAGGCTGATTACCTGCTTGGCGTCCTCCAAAGACGTCTGCAGCCTGCTTATTTCCTTTTCATACTGCTCTTTCATCTTGTCCACCTCCTGATCATGAGCGGCCACTTCCTCCTTTAAGGCTCCTTTCAGAGCTGTCAGTTCCCTCTCTCGCCTCCTCAGCACCTCCTCCTGCTCCTCCTTGGCCAGGAGAACTTCCTGCATCTCCACTTTGAGTTGCATCATGTCCTGTGGAAAAAAGGTACAGGTTGGTCACTTTTTATTGCTGCAGTTTGCAGGTTAAGACTGGAGTTAACCTGCCAAGTGTGACCATAGCCCTGTTCTGACCTGGAATTAACATTTGTCTCGGGTCATCTGATCACAAGTGGACAGCTCTACAGGTGTGAACACACCCAAGACACATTGAGGCATTTTTGAGATCTAATCACTCAGACCACATGCGGAGGTGGTCTGGGCCACATGTGGCCACATTCTTTCAACAGTGTGAACGCAAATGCGTCCAGGGCCACATTGAAGGACCGCCTACTCAACTGACGCCTACAAACACATTTATTAAACTGTTTAAAGATAAAGAAATTGTAATGTTAGAGTTAAAGACACGAAAGAATGCAGACCTTTAGAAATGCTCAAGAACAGTGTGATCATTTTGATATACAGTTCCAATTTTGTATTCCCATAATTAGTTTCTGATGGCAACTGGCAATAAAAGTAATTTTTTCACCTCTAAAACAATGAACACAATGTGCATTACCGCTATAATGATGTCTTTCTCTCCATCAGCAGCTGACTTCTTGGCCGAGTCAAGCTCGTCGTGCATCTCTGACAGCTGGTCCTGCAGGTCTCTGATCTCTGTCTGGTACTGTTCCCTCTCCATCTTCACCTGGAACAGCCTGACAAACCACACAACATGTCACATCAAAGTACAAGACCTTTACATACTGTACATATGCACATACACACCAATGCACCTGCAACTTAATTCACACATACAAATAGCAACACCTGTGCTAGGTCTGAATGTGATACCTACAGAGTGCAGAGGTTAAAACAAATACCTGAACAATGGAAAACCAATAATGTCTAATCTGCCTCTACATGACAACACTGAGGGAGAGGGTGATAAGTGATGTGAGGCACCTCAAACAAATCACCACACAGCAATGTAGACTAAAGAAGAACATCTATTCCTCTATTCAGAGGGGAGCAAGGGATACCCCTCTCTCTCGCCCATGTTTCCTGTCTTCCTTTTACTATCAACTGTCCAATAAAGGCACAAATGAATAGTCAAAAAATGCATAGATTCAGAGGAGTTAAGTGATGTTGTTACTGGGCCAATAATCCCAAGAAAGAAACACAGTAAAGCTGAAACTACAGATGAATTCCAACTGAGAAACAAAACTTCAATGAAAACTTTGATAAGCAAAAGATCCTGGATTTAGTACAAAAAAATAATCAACAATAAAGGCCCAACACATTAGGAGGCAGAACTAAAGGAGTCCAGAGTTCTACAGCATGGAAATCCCCAAATATCACAGAAAATAAAAGATAGGCAATTTTCCAAATATTCCCATCTTAAATATGGAAAAGCCCAAATAAAACCAGAAAGCTCTCGGTAGTGGCAACACTCTGTACTTGAAAGACTGAATAATATCCAAGCACCAAGTCACCAAGCACACAAACATTAATATGAAGGGCAAAAGATAAACCTAACAAACTAGGAAGGACACAAAGGCCTGTATAATAAGGCATGGTAACCGTTTTAGTAACTATAAACAGTCTGAGAGGATTCATCAACAGACATCCTACACTGGTATCAGTGTGAGAGTACATGGAAAAGTCAGGTCAAGCTATTTATTATTATTTTTATTATGTAACTTGGTGAGGGTGCTAACAGCAATAGGTTCTTCTGATACACTGCTTCTTCAAATCACCTGCCAACGAGCAGCTTCACCAGGAGGGTGTAAAGTGCAACAAGTTCATGTTATCCCTCCCTATTCCCACCTCTGTCTGTGCAGGATCCCTAACAAATCGGTAGAGATTAATAATGAAGCAACAAGACCACAATCCCTCACCAGCTTCCCACCACAAACACTGCCAGATGTGTTCATTGGTGCATACAACCAATACCAGTCATGGGAGCTGAGCTTGGGTGTTTTGCCTCAAAGCCACCCATTTCTAGCTGAGTTTAACAAAAGTAAAAATGCTGGTAATGACAATTAAAATAGTCAACACAACATCCTGGAAATGCTAAATAAAGCTAAGCTAGTTGATTAATACACGCTGCTCATTACTGACCAACCATTCTCCAGCACTGTAACTTTGCACTTACTCTTCGACTGTTGTCTGGAGCTCAGCCTCTGTTTTGGCCAGTTTTTCCTTCAGGCGCTTGCACTCCTCTGTGCTCTGCTCCAGCTCCTGCTGCAGCTCCTTCAAACCCGCTGCTGTCTTCTTGTCAGCCTGATTCTTCTGATGGTGAAACACACAAATATTAATGTTGACATTTCAGTCTTTTACATCCCCTTGAATTGATTGTACCAATTCATTGAAGATTTGGTCATTTTCATTTGTTTTCTTCTTCTTCTTTTTTTTTGTTGACAGGTTCCATTGTAAATATTGTAAAGGAGAATCCCAGCTATATGGAAATAAAGCATATAAGATATATATGTTGTAAAAATGAACTGAAAACATTTGTACCCCAAAGAAAATGTTAAAGTATTTAACTTTTAATGCAAAGGAAAAAACAGCATTTTTAATACCAATTGACTTCATTTAAACACCCACAAACTACAGAATTACAGGTTTTCAAGAGAGTAGCTTGTTTATTCCTCTATTCAGTCGATGAAAATGGTCCCAAAATATATCTTTAAATTTGACAAGTTGAACGGTAATCCCTTAAATCTCCTTCCCAACCAAACTCTTGATTAAAGGATATTCTCAAACAAGTTCAGCAATAAACTGACATGCCAACATAATCAGGACTGTGTCAGAGGCACAGTTAGAGTTAGACTGTTGTTACCATGGTTAGCTCTTCAAGTTGTCTCTTCAGTTCAGCCATTTCTTTCTCCAGTTCAGCATTTTGTTCCTGCAGAGCTTTGGTCTGTGCAGCGAGGTCCAAGGACTGACAGAAGACAGATGTTTTAGAATTGGTTATTTCTTCTTGATCCATTAGAAATAAAAGCGCAAAGTGATTATTTGGACTCAGTTATTCATTTGCAGTTGATTTGCACTCAGTTATTTGGTAAAGGGCAAGTATTTGAAATTTAAAAATAAACAGCTCTAGTGCCAAAGCTTCAGAGCCTGAGATAACATTCACAGTTTTACAGGTCCCATTAAATGGATCTGATCACTATTTTCTTCAGTGGTTTGAATCAAACAGGATGTTAAGCCAGAATTTAATGTTTACTTTGAAAATTCAAATTAACACAAATATCATTCTCACATTTTCAACCTCTTCAAAATCAAAAAATTTGAGCAAGCTGGGCTTCAGTTTGGGAAGCCAAAACCCAAAAACGCTTCTCCAACCCATTTACTGGTAAACAGATGCTGTTTTGATATGTAGTTGGCATATCACAACAGACAGCAGAGATCTTTTTTTATTTTATGGGTTATTTAACTGTTAGTGGGGCACAATTGCAATATAACAACTTCTCACTTTGTTGTCGCCTTGTGCACTCGCTGTGGCCCGGGACTTCAACGTCTGTATCTTCTCAAAGACAAGGTTGACCTTTCTCTTTGTTGTTTCATCAGTATCGTTGCTTCTGCAGAAACACACGCAGGTATGTTAACACACACTGATTACTAAAGGTTAAAAAACCTCCCTCTGAGCAAGAATAAATCCCGGGCTGTTCTGGGAACAGAGTAACTCATTCCAAGCTTAGAAACGGTCAGGAGGGATCATGATGCTTTGATGTGTCACTTCACAGCACAAACAGCTTCATCACACCCGTCCAATAAACTATGAGGTATAAGACTGGAATAATCAAATGCACAGGCAGTATAATGGGATTGCTACAGGGTCCCATTTCATCACCTGGTAAATTAGTAGGAACCAAAACTAAAAATGATGGAACAACCATCCTGAAAGAACAATTTCTAGAGGTTTCAAATGTAAACAACTTGCACATCAGGCGTGGTCAAGTAGTTGTTTTCATTTATTACTGAAACAAAAACTAAATTTTTATCAAGCTTTTTTGTAATTTTTAAAGAAGCCTTTATTCACAGCATTTTGTCACAAAACCAGCCACACCCACAAATTGTCTACTTCAGGCTTATTCTCTCTAGTGACTAACACAGCTTGTCTTTAAAAAGAATAACAAAGTGACAATCAATAACAGCAAAAACTTTACATTTCCTAAACATCAACTACTCTGAAATTTAAAAAAAAAGCAGTCAGTTTGTCTTTGCTATTGAACAGCAGGCATTTCTGAGTTATCAACAGATGTCTGAAAGGCCAAAGATGGGAGGATTTTGTCTACCCACAGAAGAACATTTAATCCTTTCGTTAAAATGAAAACATCAGAATCAACAAAAATGGAATTTCACCACTTTCACATGCCAGCAGTGACATATTATTTCAATAAATTACAAGGCTGACACAGGGAGCTGAACCCCCCCCCCCCCCTATTCTCATACAGATGATTTTCATTAAATCTTTATAACCCCTGTCGGCGAATGTTTGTCTTCTGGGCCTTGGGAATGTAGCTCAGTTTCAGCCCCTGCATTTCCATCTGTGTTTCCTTTCCTTTGTCCTGTGACTCCTGACCTGTGGCCAGACACACCCAAAGAGTTTCCTGTTCCCTTTCTACTTTACCCTAAGCCTGTAGCACATGCAAAAACTGTAAAAACTTGCAAACTGTCTCTCATTGTAAAATCATGCACAACTAATGCAACTACTGCAGAACATAGTTTAACTGGCATCTATATTTAACTTAAACATTCTCCAGAAGAACCTTCCTATATGGCTTATTTAAAACCTAAACTGAATTTAACCTTTTAACCCAACATGCCTTTCCTTGACTGGCAGTAAGTGTCTGATTACAGAAACAAACAGAATGTTCACGCTGCAGCTAAAAAGAAAGCAGAGAGAGAAAGTGGGATTCTGCAAGAAAACACACTCCAGACAGCTGGATCACTCATAGTCTAGATGGGAAGGGGGGGGGGGCATAAGAAGAGCACATTCCTTCTCTTTTATCACAAACAGTCCAGCTATGATAAAAACCACTTATGTGCTCCCACACAACAGTCTCTCCATTCGTAATGCATTGCCATATGGTGAAACATGTTGATTTTAGGCTTCAGTGGGAACAAAGCGCTCAGTTCATGATTCAACTAGTAGCCAAGGATTAAGACTTTAACATTTTCACAACACATTTTTATTAGTATGAGTAAATAAAGCTAAAAAGTGCATTGATAAGAGCAGAAAAGTCAAGATAACTCACCCATCCTTAAGGTAACTGAACAAAATTTGTTTTGCTGTCTCTTCATGTGTTTGTTGTGAAAGCTCCTGCTGACCTTTCAGGAGATCAGGTGTCGCCTGATATGACAGGAAATTAAAGAGAGATCTTGACAAAGCAAAAAAGGGTGTTCTTTTCTCACACATCTTCATTTTGGCAAGACTGATGTGTTGGACAATATGATAATATTTAGAATAAAATAAGAGAAGTTAACACAAAGAACTTTCAGATTTCAAATGTTAGATCAAATCAAAATGCTGCAGCACAGATCTCTCACTTTTTTACCTGAACATCTGCCTCCGTACTGGGCTTTTTGTCTGGACCGGAAGAAGGCTTGGATAGTGATGCTGATACCGATGTTGTTGAAATCTTTCCAGCTGAGAAGGCACTGTCCTCATTCTCTTTACTCTTGAACGGTAATGAAGAGGCGCGAGACTGTGGCTTTTTGTACCCCTGGATGGAGCCGACACCTTTAGAGATGGTGCTCTGGGGGGAGCCGGGCGCACTGGTGACACGAGATGAAGGCCTAATGTCGACCTTACCATCTGCAGTCATGAGTCTGGAGTCCTGACTGCTGGCTGTTTTCTGTAGCCGCAACTGTGAGGGCCGCAGGACATGCTCCATTGATGTGCCTCGATGACGGCTAAACTCATCCATGTAACTAGAGCCATCTCGCAGACCAAGGGCACTATCCACACTGCGTGAGCGTTTCCTGTCCTCTGGATTGATCCTGTTCCGGCGCCCTGCCCTGCCCCTGCGCTGGTGGCTGCCATCTTTGCCATCAAACTTCTCAATGAGCTCGTCAACGCCAGGTATGGAGCCTGTGTCAATGTCTCTGCCTGAACCAGGGAGGAAAGGGATGTAGCGGCGATTCTCATGGCGGTTGATGGTGTCTGCATACAGGGCCTCCATCTGTTCATCCACCTGAGCCTTAGAGGTGGAGGATGATGAGGAGTGGCGGGAACGGGAAGAGGACTGAAGAACTGGCCCACTGGAGTCAGTCCTGCGTAAAGGAAGGACATCAGGCTCACGGCGGGTGCGCTCAAGGCTTGAGTTGGCGCTGCTCATAGAACTGGGGGACCTGCATGAGGTCTTACTCTGCTCACTTGTGGGACTTGACACAGCGGACGTCTGAGGCTGGGCTGGAGGCTTTGACTGGTGATGGGTTTTAGAGGCTGGCTTGGACTGAGGTGGATTCAGGTTGGCGAGGCGAGGTCTGGACTGTGGCTGAGCTGTTTGCGATTGCGGCCTGGTCTGAGTGAGCTGGGGAAGAGGCACAGACTGAGGCTGTGACTTTGGCTTGGGAAGGGCTGTCTCACTAAGGCTCTGGGATGGAAGTTGCCTTTTCTCTTGCTGCGCAGTAGCTCTATTCCGATCCAGGCTTGATGAGCTGGCATGGGACGGTGCAGGTACAGCAGATTTGGAGGAGGAACTCTGCTGTTCGTTCCCAATCTCAGCTGCAAACAGAGGCCTTGAAGGCAGGCTGTGGATACCTTCAAGGTTGAGGGAATTGGTTTCTGGATCATAGGGCTGCAGTATCTCAGGGTGCTTCTGAAAGTTCAGAAGGGTGGATGGTTTCTTTCCTTGTGAATCTGTGCCACCATTTTGAGGACCAGTGTAATGCATCATCTTCTGAGACCTGTACTCCATGAAAGGGCTGGTGGATCCAGCCTCCTTGCCTCCTCGGAAATCATATTCCTGATAGTTCTCAATAAAAGAGCCCTCTGCATCAACGTACCCATTACTGTTGGGGTCGCTATAGGGTTGAAGACCCCTGTCCTGGTTGTTGAGGACTACATAGGGGTGTCCATCTATACCCTGGACACGGATGCTGAGACCGTATGTACCAGCTCCATTACTGTGAGGCCTGGAGGGGCGGGATGGCTGCGTGTAGACCCGCTGTGGTCCACTGTTAGGAATGCCAGTCACTCTGTACGAATCCATTAGGAAAACAGAAGGAAAATAAATCCCTCTCCCCGGATCAGGTGGCCCACCTCTGCAAGCAAATATTCAGACAGTCAGAGTTGAGACACCAGATAATTCAATAATATCAACAAATGTTTCCCAGTTCCACAATCAACCTCTAATGCAACAATAAACTCTAGATGCATTTAATTATGTCATCTGCTTTAATTTTCTTCTCGTTTTGCATTCTTAATGCTCTGTTTTCTCTCCTCTGAGCTTTTTTTTCATATTAACAGTTCAGCTAATATGCTCTGGCCAACTGAGACAATAAGCTCGCTGCATTTCCTGTAACATATCAGAACCTATAACATCACTGAAAAATATGACTCAACATCAGCCACATTTTTTCGAAAACAAACCAGGTACTGTTTAGAAAGGCCTTACAGGTGAATGACTAACAGGTATGGTATAAGAAAATTATTGTTTAGCATGCATGACTAAGAATATAGGTTACACAGGTTAAGAGAAAGGTATTAACAGAAAGATAACACTCAGCCAGGCCTGGGAAAATGTGAGAGCTCTGTCATCTCCACACAACTTTAGGGGGCATTAGGTTTAGAGTGGATGTAGTATGTGTGTGTGTGTGTGTGTGTGTGTGTGTGTGTGTGTGTGTGTGTGTGTGCGCGTGTGTGTGTGTGCATGTGTGCACAGCACAGCTGATCCTTGTACATGACATTGTAATTTGCAGCCCACACACATGGGAAATGACATGAAAAGAGAGCAACAAAATCTTATTTGGTTCAATTTTGTCACATTTATAATTATTGTTGGGTTGTCAGATATGACAGATTTGCAAACGGATCGTGAGAACGCAGCTGGCAATAAATATCAAATTGTGTACAAATATTTAAGTAAGCTGTTAATGTGTTCGTCAGACACATTTATGCCTGGGAAGCCAGTGAAGACAAAGCCATCAGCAGCCACCATGTGTCTCACTCGACAATGGGCTTCTAACAGGTTCCTGTTTGCCTTACTGATAGTGTCCCATTCTACCTGATGTTACAACAGAAAAACAGGCTGAGATGGGCCTGAAGAAGGACACTGATAAGACTAACAACAATAGCAAGAGCAGGATATATCACATTATGGTGAGATAGGTAAAGACAACCAATAACCTATTCAGAAAAAAATACAGCACCAAGTAGGGTTGGGCGATATAGCAGTATGTACCTTGAGAAGATACAGATTTGTCAACTGCCACAGATTTTGCCATACTCTTAGTCTCTGGTTGCATCTGGGCAAAGTTGCAAAATGCAAATCAATGAGCAGGACAGGGAGTATAAAAGTATAGAAGATTTCAAGGTTTCCACTTGTAAATTGATTAACCAAGGTGGTAAGCCACCTAGACCCTTATGTATTTTATCTCATGATCAATTTAGTCGGTACATGATGGCTTAAACAATACACAGACTTGTTAAATATTTGGCATTTGCTGGATCAAATAGCACCCCATTGTTTTTCCCACAGGGTTAACATTTTGTTTCATTAAAGTACATTAACTTTACAGAGAGAGGCTGTCTTTGTTTCAGGCAAGGTTGCCTGCCTCTGCCGTACATGCTGGCCACTCCTAGCATAACATGAGAATAATTCAACTCCACTTGGGTTTGACAAATCGACTTTCATGACTGGCTGGTCCTGGTGCTTCAATTAGTCAGAATTAGTCAGCTTCAGTCTGCACAGGGGGAAGAAAAAAGCAAGGCCAAGGTGAAGTTTCCTGTCCAGGAGGAAGCCTAAGACAACACAATAGATCCTTTAATCCTTAGTTTCAGATGCATCTGATACACAAGGGCTCAGACAAGTGTGCAACTTTTTCCATTCCATTGTATTTTTGAATGCAAAGGGAGGAAACCCTCAGTGAGCTTCCACACTGTCCACAGTGAACATGCTGCCTTCACTGACCCCAATGTTGCAGAGCAGAGGGGTCATCACTGAGTAAAGGTTGGGATGCCAAGGCCCGAGCTTTGATCTGAGCAGTGGGGAGACTGTGCAAAGAATTTTAACAAAGAAGATATTTATCTCCTCATGTGAACTGATTAGTTTTCTGTGTCATAGAGACTCCTGACACTTTGTGGCAGAAAACAAATCAGTAGAGGAGCAGCTGAGAAAGAACCTTGAGAAAGTGAAGGTAAAAGGTGAACTAAGTCAGTAAAACTGCGACGATTTACACTGTGGGAAAATATAGTTACATAATCAGCTGAGTTGATCTGGAGCAGGCAGGTGAATGCAACGTGAGCGTACAGGAGCAAATGTAAACACAGTTTTTAAAAATCACACCACCAATTAGTTAAGCACATACAGAGCTTCACAGTTAAAGCTTACTTGAAAAGTAGCAGGTTAGCTAAAGTGAGGAAACAGTGACAGCTCTAGATATTTTACATCGCTGCTCTGTGCAACAGGTGGCATGGAAAACACCAGCAGCCTGAGATTTACTGTAAAACTAAAGAGTTTTCCTCACGACTTTCTAACTTCCACGAGTCACCTGATTAAGTCAAGTTTATAGCGTAGTTAAATTGTCCATTTTTGACCTTAAATGTTGAGTTATTTGCCACTTTCTTGGCGTTTAACGGCTGTTAACGCTCGCACAGCAGACTGCACATCTACAATGAACTGTTAGCTAGTTACTCACCAGCGTCGTTTTTTCTCTCTTGTTCACTTATCGCAGATTTTAAACGTTTGTTTAAAAGGATTTTGAAAAAAGGATAAAAGGTTGAGCAAAGTGCTCACACCGCTGTTGGCTAACTTATTCAGTCCTGTGTTGTTTTCTGAGAAGGGAGAGAGAGAGGGAGTAGGACAGTTTCAGAAGGACGTCCGACCCTCTGGGCCGCCCCGCCTCCTGAATCAAGCGCACAAACCCGCCCACCCACCCAAAACCAAACCGCCGGTCCAGGAACAACTTTCACATCACAGATAAATCCTCCCCCCTGTAATCTTGGCAGGACTCCTCCGAGGCTCGGTTCAGTTTGGACCGGGAAAGCTTGGCTCGGTTCACTCCAGCAGGTTTTTTAAGAAGGTGGTCACAACCCTTTAGGTGGGACGTGACACTCACCCAGTGTTTCATACTAGCTTATTATGAAACAAACATTTTTCGTTTTTGGTTTTTCTTTTTCTAACTGAATAAACTAAATATCAAATTATAGGCGGACTGAGAAAGTAATGCAAGTCTATTGTTTGTGTTAGGAAGAGGCTGGGCCAACATAATAAAAAACCTTATCTCAAATTAAAAAAAAAACAAAACAGAGATAATACATTTTCAGGTATGAGTCAATGTTTTGCATTTCGTGAGAAGTACATTGGTGGACCCAGTAGATAGTAATCCTAATATTGTGGCGAATACTATTCAAAAAAGCCAAAAACAATATATCAAATATTTAAAAAAGTATTGGGAAATTAAAATAAAAAGTTACACACTGTAAGTTCATAAGTGATAGAAATTGCTTGTACAAACTAATGGTTTTATGAATTATTTAATGCCCTGGGAGAATTATACACGTGTTTGCTCGCCTTAAACTCCATGTAAGATTAATTATTTGCACTCTGCATAAATGCGATTTGCAGCTGCATGTCTTTAAAAACCGAGAGCGTCATCTAGTGGATAGTAAGCTGACCTGAGTGCGGGTAGTTAATGAGGATCTGTGCTGGTGGTACTGGTGCATGCATTTAACTCACACACTGTGTATGTTAACGCATCACCATAGATGGGCTATGCCCCATTAGCATCTTCTGTGATGCACAGGTATGGTGGGGGTCCAGCACTACAGCCATAAAGAAAAGGATGGGGGAGTTGTGCTGAGGCTTGTTGAAAAAGCTGAGCTCTCTGGAGAGTAAGAATTATTTCTGTAAAGTGTCTGTGGTGTTGTGAGCATGTATTTTATGATTTTATGAGTTGCAGAACTAAGCAAGTAATACAGAGCAATGATAAATAATAAATAAGCAGGTAAGGGCAGAAGGAAGATTTCAGTCATTTCAGTGGTACTGTGGGTGCACCAATATGTCTGTATATGGTTCTGTGTATGAATATTCTTACACATACTGTAAATACACATACAAAATGTCTATATGCAACACAGACACATGCAAGTGTAGCCCTATACTGTACATATATTATGGAATAAACCACAGACAAATAAAACAGCTGATGAATAATAATAATATTCAAGTTTGAATATGTGACCTGTCTTGATTCAACTCTATAGTGATTTTTGTTGTTGTTGTTGTATGACCAACAGCAAAAAACTCTGTTCACTATAATAATACAAGGCAGGGACACACCAAATGACTTAAACAACTAATCAAAATAGATTCCAATAAATTTTCTGTTGATCTTTGCCACTATAATTTTAATTAGAAACATACAATATCAACAACAATGACGAAATCAAATGACATATTTCTTTTACAGGCATTACAGTGTACAAAGGTTTCAGTTTTTTTCTGATTAGTCACCGTATCATACTTTACACTAGAAATCATTTTCAATATAAGTACCACCATCTTCACAAAGAATATTTTAAACAATATTACTCTCTTGAAGATTTTGCAGTTCCTGAAATATCAGCACTGTCATGCTCACTCTGACTTACACTGAGATTCTAAAGAAATGATCAATTCTACGTTTCCTTGTATAACTCTTGCCACTGCAGCATATAGTACATTAAACTGGAGGCCCAGCTGCCCCTTTGCCTTTGTAGTCAACCACTGTTTATATTTGTGTCCGCAGAGAGACCAAGCAGCACCACAGCCTTTAATCTGAGCTCTGTGCCACTGTGTTGGGTTACAGCAGCACACAATGGGAGCTCTGTTCTCTGCTGAGGTGCCACAGCTGGGACCTCTGGGCATGCTCAGTACACAGCTCAGTCTTATCCTGATTAAACTGCAAGAAAGACTGCGGGGAACCGAAGTGACATGGACCAGAGATGTCACAGATGCTCATATTTAGCTCACTTGATTTAATCTTTTCCATTGTTCTGAATTTCTTTTTCTTTTTTTTCTTTTTTTTACAAGAAACATGATGGGGGAAAAAAAAGTCTCTGAACCAGTTTATCTGGCAAAAGCCACCACTGAAAACAATGAGGAGAACAAATGGTTGTTTGCTGTTGTTTGCCAGATTGGTAGGTTTAAATTCTTACAATAGTGAACTGGTGTGCAGCCAACAACTTTCCAAAATAAAGCATGTAGTGGTGGACATTCAGAGTCTTAGTGGCCATCGACCTCTGTTCATAAACGACAAAAGTAACAGGTGAATGACAAATGTGTAGGTGTAATAATTTCTTCTCCTATTATGCGGGAGGTCAACACTACAGAGGTGCTGAGGAAAGCTCAGCAAAGACTTAAGTTTTAATTGCCTTGAGAGTATGTTGGTTGCTTTAATTGTTCCTCCTTTCCATAATGACGGACAAAATTCAACATCCTATTTCTGTTTCTGTTTCTTTACTATGTATTGATAATAGTGACTCAAACAGTGAATCTGAGTCTTTTTAGTATGAAATTCCCTCTTTGTTTTACCATCCCTCTGCCACAGCTCAGCAACGAAACACTTATTCATCCCAACGGATGACTATATCTAAACATGACTGTAACTTTGGAATATCCCTTGCTTGTTTTGTCTAGGGCAGACTGAGGTCATTTTGTACAGAACAAGCTGTGTGGATTTTGCCCCCATCACTTACGAGTGACCAATGATGATTTCAATGAACATGCTGTATGAGTATATAAGTACTGTTGTAAAACAGACTTATATAAAATATGAACCTTTCCTTTAACTCCTCCATTGTCAATGTGCTGTTATTACTCTTGTACATTTAATAGAGTGTGTACTGTGGTTGCAATACAATCATACTTTTCTTTGGTTCTGATAGCATCCACCATGGGAGTGTTTGCTTATTCGTGTATTATTTCATTATTATTTTATTGCCTGTGGTGATTTTACTGTGTTTTTACAGTGCAGGTTCTGTATATTATGTCCTGAGGTTTTTGTTCTATGTGAGCTCACCAAAGCACACTCCAATCCGAAACTGTGAGATTAGAAAGTGAAACAAAATGAAGCATGTTTAGTACAGCATGCATCCTGGGAGTAGCAGAGAGGAGGACAATCTTACTGTTTGGAGCAGAAGGAGCAGAAGGAGCAGAAGGCTTCAAGGATGCAAGCCAAGGACTTTCTGTCAGTTGGCCCAGCAGCCATGACAGGAAGTCAGCCTTCAGACTTGGTGGTCCCACTCCTACAGAAAACATGCACACCCGCCACCACCATCAGCCCAACACACTCACATCTCTTCTGTTTCTCCCTGCAGGGAATATTGAGAGATGACAGTCATGATTTACGCTGCTTCACTGCGCTCACCACAGACAGAACAGCAGTCAGCAGTTTTCCTCTGAGTGTCACCCCTGTCAGAAAATTGAATTGGGATCAGACCTCTCAGGAAGTGATGAGTACTCTCATGCTCACATCTGCAAGAGGATAATTTTGTGCAGATGTACAAGGTCTGAGATTTACAGCACAACAGTCCTCCAGGTTTAGAGCAGCATTTTCACAACACTTTTGGGATTCATTAGCAGATCGAGTGTGGCAGTCTACAGAAGGCCGCTACCACCAAAAACATTTATTAGAAAATATAGTTTAGGTTTGTACTTTTCATAATTGGCTGCATCAATTTCATTCCTGCGCTCTAGTTTCAGTTCGTCTATTTCTTTTTATTTCTTTTTGTCTGTTTTGCTTATGCATTTACATGATTTGTGTCAAAACAAATTGTATAAAATATTGTAAAACATCCTGAAATTGACTCTTAAATATTCATGTGGAATTAATATATTTGAACATTAAAAAAATGTGTTCCAAAATATCAATTTAATTTCCTCTGTTGATAAATATTTTTTCTGGAATGGCTTTCCTACCGGATCTGTCTCTAGCTCTTTTTCTTCATCATGAATAAATCTAAATGTAAAAAAAAAATAGAACCACAGCACATGTACAGTACGCTGCTATCACACTTTATTAAAAATAGAAACATATATTCATAGTACTTTTCATACAGACTACAATGGTCCACTGGCATTATTTTCAAAAATGAGTTACATACTATAAAACACTCATTTGGCCTAAATCCACTGTAGAAATGTCTTAAAAAACAAACAAACAAACAAACAAACAAAAGAAAGAAAGCAAGAAACAATAAGGAAGTCTAAATGAACCCCCAGGTTTCTGAGCTGTCTCTACTTCATCTTTCCTGTGCCTTCTCATAAAATAAAACTTTATGGAGAGGAGAAAATGTAAATATGGAGAAACAAAAGAAACAAAAACAAACATGTTTGCTCAGTGAGAGAAATAAATGCACATACAACTGAGTTTAAAAAAAGATGGCACATTTATTGCAACATAAATGTTATATACATTGTGTTTCTCTGTTGAAAAAGACAGAAAATTCAAATTCTCGTTGCTGCAGTTTTTTTTGATGATGTGCATCGACAATACCTTTTTCATTTGACACAAGAACAAATCTTTTATCAATCGACAACGGACTCTGAAGAATAGGATGGAGGTCGCACTTTTAGGGATCTGGAGCTCGTACGAAGCCTTTTTAGTACTAGACTACGAGCAACAATTCATCTATGTTCTTGAGATGCCATTTGTAAATTTCTTGTAGTAATGGACAGGTTATGGTAAATAACCGTACATTTTACTATCTAATATAGTAAAATAAAGTAAGAAACTTTTTACTCAAAACTTTTGCTTTCAAAAATCTAGAAAGAGTAATATTTAGAATTCAAGAAATATTCTTACAGTATTATTGTATAAAAGACTAACTACAGTGAAAAATAAGCCAAATGTTTTTTTTTCTTTTGATTTTCTTTTTTTTTTCATATATTATACAAGGGAAAGCATCTGGGAATACAGCAAAGTCTAACTTGGCAAACAGAGGAGCAAAGAAATATAGGAAGAACAGGAAATTTAAAAATGAAGGTAAGAGAGCAGGAAGTGGCGTACATTATACCCTCAATCAAAGTCTGCCAACATGAATACAAGCTTGTGAATACTGAAATGAAGAACAAGGCCACATTCAGTCAGAGAATACACAAAAACTGTTTAGGTTTTTTTCATTAAAACAAAGTTGTTAAATCATAAATCTTTAATGTAAACTCTTGGCGTGGCATCCTTTATTCTAATTTAAGTCCCTTTTTGTACAGAATACTCATTCTGAATGTGGCAGCCTTGTTTAAGGTGTAGATAATGATAGAAGACAATATACAAAGAAATAAATGGAATATAAAGCAAGTCTTAAGACCAAAGACTTAATAAAAGGAGAAATGTAAAGCATGCACACTGATAGGGAAAAACAAAATAAAACCATGACCAATGTCTTGAAACATAAAAGAAAAATCCTGTTAACTGCTTTTGTTCATTATTGTGCTACAGTTGTATGATATCCATGAAATATCTAGTCTGGCTTACTGTATTGAGTATATCACGGCTTGCATGAAAACATAACTGAAAAATAACTTAGAAGTTCTCTCTGCTGACTGAAACTGGACATTGTAATGCTGAAAGTCTAAAGGAAGGACTTGTTACAACACAAATAAGCATAACTAAATTTTACTCAGAGTAACTGTTTTTGAAATTTAATGTCTTGAGATATTAACAAAGAAAACTGGAAAAAAAGTGGTATCTTCATCAGGCCAGGAGAAAGTGTGGTCGTCGTTTTTTCATTTTAAACTACTTCTTCGTTAAGCAATCTCTGATTAGCTGGTGGCAGAAAAATGACAAAAAACACAAGCCACTTCTGTGCTGACGTCAGGAGCACGTAATTGTCAGGAGGCTAAACAAAGATAAGAATCTGCAAAAATATGTCACCGCTTACATTTAACACTATATGGCAAAGGAACCGAAGGGCAGTAAAGTCCACTTTTCCTTTCGTTAAGACACTAAAAATATGAAGGGAATGCTAAGGTTTGCAAACAGTTTGCTCTCTGTGTTTTCACTGCTCACTACAGAGGAAAAAAAGAACACAACTAAATCGGAGCTTTCAGTAAAGCTAGAGTTTGCCACTCGTCTGTCACCTATATAGACAATATTGTTGATGCTAATGTACTCGGGCCTATTATTCCACTGGTCAGTAGTACAGAAACTGATCTAAACTATGCAGAAACAGACGTAGGTAGTTTTGGTTACAGATGTGGCCAGTGGCAGAACGAATAAAATATAAATATAAATAATATATCCTCTTTTTTTTTTTTAAATGGGGTGCTTTAGTCTTTCAGATCTAACAGCTAATGATCATTTTCAGTTGGGTATAAATATCACTCTAAACTGGCCAATAAATTAATCTCAATCTTTTCAGTGCCCAAATATTTTTCCCTCATCTTGGACTAGCCAAAGATTTAGCAGGGTGGAGTGCTCAAGTTTTAATGGTGACACTGGCAAACTATAGATCAACTGAAAAGCCACATACTTCTCTTTGAACTTACTTAACTTTCCCTTTAGACGTACACTTTATAGCTCAATAACATAATAAATAGAAAAAAAAGAAACAGACAAACAAAAACAATTGCTGTTACAATGCATTCGTCAATTCAGTTTAGGCACAAGGCAATTTCCACATACGGTTCGAGGAGATTGCGAAGTCTCTGATTGTTCAGAAGCCACATACTTCTTGCAGACAGTGATATGTGCTGAAGATTTTTCTTTGTGGGGAGAAATTTGCAGATGGAAACTGGTCACAGGGAGCTAGATGCTTGGCTCTACCTCAGTCTTAGGATTGGATTGTGTTAGTCTTGTGGTTTTGCTTCGAGTGGTCTGTCTCCTCCAATTGGTGTCACAAAATGTGAGTCCTGTCTGTCACTGGGAAGCAAGGTCACCAACTCAAAACGGGACAGAAATGATCTGCATCACTTTGATCTGGAGAGAGGTGAGGAGAAATACACCGATCAGAGGTGAACATCAATAATCACACAAATAAATTCCATCTGTACTTTTGGTTCAAGATTATAACACATTAATACTTTCAAAGCTCCATCACTACTCTTTCACATATTTATAGAAAATTTTCCTCAATGCATTAGTCGATTAACATAACAATTAATCTGCAACTAATTGATTAATCACTTAAGTCACTAATTGTACCAAACATGACGTTGTTCTTGCTTCTCAAATGTGGAGAAGTGAAGGATTTAGGAACTGTGATGGTGAAGATCATAATAGTAGCAACATTATCTGATGATCATCTCCAACAACAACCCCACTTAAGTCAAGTGCTGTGCAGAAACATCAGGTATTATAACATCCAGTCCTACAAATCAATCTTATTATAATTATTATTGTTATAATGTTTTATTATTATTATTATTATTATTATTATTATTATTGTTATGCTTTTCAGTAAAACAAGGCCTAAAAACATAGATAAAATCCATGACATAAAAACATATATAACATTATTAACAATCACTGCAACAAATTCCATCGGTTAAGAGAAAGCCATGTGTAAAAAATTAGTTTTCAGAAAAGACAAAAGAAGATACAAACTTTGCCTTTAATTAATTGTTTGAGACAATAATCCTCAGGTTAATCAATATTGAAAGTAAGGGTTAGTTGCAGGAAGTGGGAGTACCTGTCTGCTGCTCAGAGGTGGCCCATGGGGTTGGATGTGTCAGTCAGGCCTGGATGGACTCCTGTGTGGCCTTGCTGGGCGTCACCGGAGCCCCCAGACACTTTTTCCTCCTCCCTTCTCTTAAGGCAGGCTGCTTTGGGGTTCAAATTCCGCTCTGTAGTTTCAGAGAGACAAGAATCAAACTTTTGTGCCACATTTCTTTGAACACAAACAGTGAGAGCTTTGACCTGTTCATTTTCTTTATGGAGAGGATGTGACGCAAAAATGAAATTACCATGTGCAGGAATATCATGTGAAAATATTACACGTTTCTGACGAATCAATATTGATTTGATGTGACGTAGCATTGACATTTCAGTTATAACATTAATGCGGGGATAAAGCTTTCATTAGCTGGACACTGACCTCTGACTTGCTGCTCCAAGCTAAGTATGACAGCCACAGCCTGATGGAGGATGAGCAGTTTAGTCTGGGGCTTCTCGCTTTTCAGGTGCAGCTGGCACATGCGACCCAGCTCCTTGAAGGCCTCGTTGATGTCTCGCACCCTCAGGCGTTCACGGGCGTTGTTAGCCATCCTCCTCTCGCGCTCTCGTTCAGCCTTCTGCTCCGGGTTCAGCTCCTCGTCTTCAGTGATACTGTGGCAGAGAGAAGAAATCCACCTGCAGTCAGATCACTCTTTTTTACAATCATATGCACATGACAAAAAACAAACATAAGTTGAAACTAAGGAGCAGAGGAGTCTTCACTTCACTCTCTGAAAGTAAAATATGTATATTAAAAAGAATAATGAAAAATGTAGAGTATCAGACTAAAGTCTGGGCTACTGCTCAGGCACAACCACAAGGTTTGGCCTGCTCTGAACAATTTTCAGTTCAAATAATTATTTTTCTCACACCTAACCAAACACCAGTTAAACTAAGCTGTTTCACTTTTGGGAAACATTTTGTGTGTTTGTGTATCAACATGTTCATACCTTGTGCGTGTGCTTGCTCTGGGTGTCTTCATATCTCTTTTATCGCTCTCGTCATCAGACTTGTCGTCTGTGGAGAGGCTATCGTGCATGTCGTCCTTGTCCTGTTTCTCCACCTTCAGCTCCAGGGTGCTAGGCAACTGGCTAGCCAGGCCTGCAGCAAGACCTGTTAAAGACAATGTAAACATAGCGGTAAGACATATAAAATAAGCTGACCCATGTCCACATCAAATTGTGTCAACTGTACAATAAGACTGTGGGGTGCACCAGACCTCTGAATGTTTCCACTGCGTGGTTGAGTTCTGCGCTGGATGTGGAGCCGGCACTGGGCAGTCCTCCATGGCTGTTGTTCAGGCTGGCAGCATCGTCAGCGTGGGCACCACCCTGCTGCAACACAGACAGGAAAGACATGTGAAGAAAGGAAGCAGACACTCTCTGGAGATGGTACATAAAGCATTTCTTTTGAACAAAAGAGGAGCACGAATGCAAGATCCAGTGGTTCTAAACAGAAGAAATAATCACGGCAAGAAGTCATCAGTGAGTTGAGGTCCATCAACACAGGTCAAGGATTTAAAAATGAAATCTTTTTTTTTTACATTCAATATTAAATTCTAGCTAATGGCTTTTGAAATGTTGATGAAATTTTGATTGGATGCTATTTGCAGTCTGCGTATATTGAAGGATTTAACTATTCATATGAAACGTTCAGGAACTAATGAGTACTTTAAATCTATCAGTCCCGACACTGGGGGGTGCTTTGGTGATTTGTTTCATAGCGACATGTTGTAGGGTGCACAATCAAGGGTGGAAAACACAAAATAAAAGCAAATAAAAGACACCTGTGTAATAATATGTTCAAAAGCAACTTACTTTATGACACAATATGAAAACCTCTTTATTTGTCCTGTTTATGTTATATTATACTTCACTGCTCACTGCTGTGACAGTGTCATTCTTAGCTATCTGTAACCACAACTGAGAACACGTCTGTTTCTCATGTCTGAAATGAGACAAATCCGTCTGTGTTCTGTTTTAAAAGATGTCAAGCTGAACCCACTCAACAGTCTGACAATTTGCTTTTTTATTTTGTTCATATTCATAACATGAAAAACGGTCAGCTCCCACCACGTTGTACCACAAAGTCCCTCCTTCTTGAGGTTTACCACATGTTCTCCAGCTATTTGATTTCCCTTCTGAGAACCAGGGAAAGGCGGGGAAATCGTCACTGAGGGTGGAGGGTATCTCCCCCTTTTCTTATGGAATGTGATCCTCGGTCACTGTTGGCCTCTGTTAACCCCGCCACCCCGAAACCCTCCCCTTCCTCAGCGCTACGCTAATCTTTGCTGTGCACTCAACAGGTGTCCAAACAACTCTTTGTCTGGAGGAGGAGGAGGGAAGCCGGAGTTCTGGCAAGAAAAGAACGCTGCCATTTTCATGGCTGGGCCTGATTACCATACAGCTGAGGACCTCTATTTGGGTGGAGGCCGCGGGTTCAGACACACGTTTCCAACGATTCAGATTTCCTGGGTTGTTAAAAAGAAGTGATGAAAAGGGGAGGAAGGGGGTAGAGGGTGGGGTGTCAGCCAGAGTAAAAAGCCTGTGGCTGTGCCGTGCCGAGGCTGGTGAGCCCTGGCTGAGGGGACCTCTTCCCACACAGGAAGTGCCGTGTTAGTGCAGACACAGTATGTTCTATCTCACAGTCGCAGTCGGTCAACATCACTGCCACAACCCAGCTCTCTGTAACAAATACATCAAACTGAGCTCTTCTGACAACCACAGAAAAATTCTTGTTTGGGGACATAACAAGCTACTCTGAAAGATCCAACAGTTTCAGCATCAAAGTGAAAACAACCAGAGACAGAAAACACACTGCCCTAAAACAAACTAAAACCTTTAACTGCTTTTAAAATAAATTAATGTTGCCAAAGGAGATCTGAGATCATAGACCAGAGAGGGACGTAAAAAATCCTGATAAAAATACAGTGAAGCTTTGATGATCATGCCAACACTGTGAAATCTTCTTGGTGAAGAATAAACACTAAAATGTCGGTCTTAATCAAAACGTGAAACAAATTGTTTTTTTATTCTTACTTTTTGTTGCAATAAATTTCAGCTGGGCATCAGGAGAAAATGTTTTTTATTTAATGTCTTTGTGTCTGTGAGTATTTGGGGAGTTGTCACTAGAGTGACAATTAGTCAATTAATCAATTAGATGACAGAATTATCAACAGTCATCCGCTGAGTAATGTTGGACAAAACAAGTAATATGAAGACGTCATCATAGGCTTGAGGACCCTGTAATATTTCACTCATTTCTGACATTTTACAGTCTAAGCAATTAATTGATAATGAACATAATTACAACCCTAAGCAATACAAATAGAATGTTTTTTGTACTGTTACTCACTGATGTCCAATTTAAAAAAAAAAACCTGATAAATATTGATAAAATTTATATAATATCAATTTGTAAAATTCAAAACAATTTAATTTAATTCAATATGTGAATTGTAAAGATTGGCTTCTAGAAAACCAGATGGATCTCAGGTCTGTATCTGAAGGTATTATCTAATTTAACCATTGCTAAATATAATTTTCATCAGATGAACAGGATTTACAATGAGGGAAACATTAAAATCTAAATCATAAAACATATAGTTGAATGTGTTCATCTTTCAGTTTTAAGTAATCTGAACCCCTACCCATATTAAAACTGCAACAGCAGTTTTTTTTATTGTATTTGATCCAAATTATTTCCAAACACCTCCGGATTACAGTTGAATGAGTCGCCCCATTTTAATTTCCACTGCAGATGTGTTCAAATCTCTTGGCTCTTTAAAATGAAATACCTCGGATGGAGGATGGGTGAACGCATCATGATTTATACTGAGACCTGCATTCCCCTGTGTCTCAAGAGGCTTCGACTTTAACTCTAAAAGGAGTGCAACACACAAACACTTTCTGCACCAAAGCACAACTTCACTCCATTACGCCTGTTTTTCTCATTTCTCTTTCACCCTTGTGTATACAGCCACTCTCAAGAGGAGGGTGAGCTTTCGGCCAGCCATTACACTTATGGAAAATATGTCAGGATAAATTCAACTGTTCATGTGTGGAAAATGTCTAGTTTTTACACATGGCAGCGGACCTGTTTCGAACAGGTGGGCGAGGCTTCGTCTGTGGGGAAGTTTGAAAAACAGCTTACAGTATAGGAATCCACCAAAGAAATGTGTTTCCCCCCTCACTTTCTGCAACATCCTAAACATATAAAAAACTTGAGACCTAAATACTTATGTGAAGTTCTCATACCATTGCTGCTGTCCGACTCGGAACCAATGCAGATGCAGGGAAGTTTGCTCCAATGGCTGCTATTGGCCCATTTTGTGCCTGTCCCAGCAGACTGTGTATGTCGCTGGGCAGACTGGCCGTGGAGCCCACTGCATGGTTCCTCAGAACAAGGATTGCATCATCCAATCTGTCCAGACGATCCTCCATTCGCGACTGGGAGGACCAGAGGGATTGAGAAGCGAAGGGTTAGGGAGAGGGAGAAGAGAGGAAAAGAAGGACAGAGCAGCTTAGTATAAGCACATTAGGACCAAAATTGAAAACACTGATTTTATGGTGTGGACGTGGAAAGAAAAAAAAAAAACATCTGAAACATAAGATAAAGAAGGCAATTCAAATGCAAGATCAATTGAGCCATTTCAGCTTGAGTTGTTCAAGTCATCATAATTTATTTTAAATGAATAATAGACAGATGCACTATAGCCCAATGGAGCGCTTCAACAATTAATTTAGACTTTAATTGCACCTAAGATCATTACTGCAAGCTGGAATAGCTAAAAAGACAACATAATATGACAATATGGCAACAAAGGCAAGAAAAATGAAACTGCATTTCACTGTGAGGAACGTAGACTGCAAGTCGAGCTTGTGAGAGAGAAAACAAAATAAGGAACGCAAAGATGTATGGAACACGTAATGAGTAAAGGCTCTATCTGAATAGTACCTCGCAGACATCCTTTAAGAAAGACATGGCATCCTGGAGATGCTCATGTAACTGCTGATGAACTCTGTTTTTCTGGCAAAGTCAAATAAGAATAAGACAGGATTATAAAAAAAAAAAAAAGATCAGTATCTATAAATACTGGAAACACACTGTGGATAGAGATTGTTTTTGTAAAGACACACAGAAAAGAAAAGGGTCGGATTTGGAAGGAAGCCCAGAGCGTCTGACCATTCAGTTTGTATGCATGAAAATGTTTTGTTGTTTGAACATTTTAACAACCATCACTACTTTACTGGTCACATCATTAAACATTACATTTACTACAGTGCACATTTAAACCATTGGCTTCCAAGCTTTGTGGTCTGTCATTTCTCTGTTGGAATAAATGTCCCTGTTGGTAAACCTGTGTTCTCCATTGACCAGAATCAGCCTTGAGTGATATAAATACACTGCATATTAATACTTTGCATTGTTATATTCATTACACCAAGCTGTACTTTTTGGTAAGTCTAAGTAACATGAAGCAAGCAGCCAGTTACAAGAAAGATTTATGGATTATCATAATCAGCTAATTTTCCTATTACATAAGTGTTATTCCAATATGAACTGCTGTCTGTGGACCAATCCACTAACAAGATCATTTTGTCTGTAATCTAATCCTCAACTAGCATGTTTACACAGTTGCTCATCACTTTCCTAGAAATAGACAGGACTTTTCAATGTCACAAATAGTTTTGACTCAACTACCAAGGAACTGTGATCCATGCTTTTATTTCAACACACTCTGAAACAAATTCCGAGAATATAAAATCAGTAGAAGTCATCTTTAACCCCTTTTAAGGCTCAGTGTTTTTGTTTGGTTCAGTTTTTCCATCATCGTGTACAGTTTTGTATTAGTGATTTTTCAAAATTCAATTTTAACATATTTTTAATATTCATAAGAAACACTATTTAAATAAATATTGTTAGTTATGCGGTCCAGATTCAAAATTAAGTGTAGCTCAGTTTTTCCATTATGGCCCACAGGTTGTCAAACAGCCTGCAAGATGACATCAGGCTGGACCAACTGATTTTGTCCTTTCACCACTGAAAAGTCTAAACCTCCCAGTGTATCTGACCCTCAAAAGCTGCTGTCATTTACCGCAGGTCGGCCTTCCCACATATAATATATAAAATATATATATATATATGATATGATATATATATATGATATATAAGTATCACATATAATGTTAAACATATAATAATAGAAAACTGACAAACTGTAGTCCTGCATTTACTCACGTCATGTCAAACAGCATGTGAAGTGCAGTTGTTTTCACATGGCAGCTAATGTTCAGGTTATCTGACACTACTCACTTTAATTGTCACCTTCAGTTGTGCTGCGACTTATCTTTGGTGGCCATGAAGATACAAAACAAAGCTTGTGGCGGCGTGGGAGGAAACATCTACATGGCCACGTTCAATGTCCTCTTCACATACAATTGGCTGATTGAAGGGAACTTAGTGATAAGAGTGCAGCTGGACTGACTGTGGCCTTTTCAGGTCACGTTCCATGCTTTGAGAAACGTTAAACAATAAATGTGCTAGAAATGTTGATTTTGCAGATCCTTGTCTCTCATTTTTTTAATTGATAAAAAAAAATCTACAGTATGACTTCCAGGTCAATCAATGAGAAAATACTTTGCTTTGGCTTAGATCAGGGTCATGGTTTGTTTATTTTTTCCTTTCCCGTTTTGCATAATCTGTCTTTACTGCTACATTTTAATTGTTATGAAAAATGTTTGTACTCCTTTTATAAGAGCTTTCTAATTAAATATTATTACTCATAAAAAAAACTCCCAGCAGAGAATGTAAACACATGGCATGCATCAGGTAGCAGGCTGGATGAAAGGTGATCTGTAGCTGCGGTCGCATGGCAGCAAAGGAATCCCGGAGAAGTGGCTCAGCAAACAGCTGCCAGCCCCACACCAGCCCCCTTAACTAAACCCATCCCCCAACTGTCATCCCCGTCCTGGCCCACGGAGTAGGGGACAGATGGCAAGCCCCCAAGGGACAGGTATTGTTCAGTTTGGTTATCCCTCGACCCCCATCTTTCTCAGCACAACATTTGTCAGACAGGAATCTCCCTGTAATGCTAGCTTAGCCCTTCATGGGTAATGTATCTAAAGTGAGCATCCATCATATCCTTCACTCACTGGAAGACAGAGGCGGACAGGGAGCTTACCAGTGAGTGAAGGGAGTTCTCATAATTTGGAGAGGATGGGGTATGTCCACTTGTGCGGGGCCACTGGTTGGTACCTGACGAGAGACAGAAGAGATGTAGCGGAGGTCAACGTCAGAAATCCTTTGATTCAGTTACATATCAACATGGCTGATAGCTGTATCCTGCCCCACTGGGTACACTGATACAAAAACTGACACACACAAAACACCACGCAGACACTGACATCCTGATTTTCTGGTTTCTTGTTGTTCTATATGAGATATTTTTATCTTTGAGGGCTCAACTGCATCACTTCCTGATGGCTGGACTGCATCCTGACACATGAGCCAGCGTAGAGTTCATCTAACGCCCACTTCCACCCTGAAATGTTCACTGCATCTGCACATTAATAAGCGTAGCTGTGAGAGGCTGGAGAACAATATGAGCACTGACAAATCTGATTTTTAACACTAATTTTTCTTCACACTTCCTTTACCCTGGAAACGTTGAGGCTCTAGAAAACACATCAGAGTGATCAGAAATGAAGTGTAGTTCAACAGGGTTTCGGCACATGGCCTTGATCAGGGTTTTTGATGAAGGAAATATGCCAAGCATCTGGGTTTAATCAAGCTCTTCCCATTCCACTATGTTAGCTAGCATTGCTGAGTTATCTTCCTTATTAGTTTTTTGTGAGTCAAACACCTTTTGACTGGTGATGTAGCGGCTGTACAGTCAGTTTGTCCTCATATATTTCACAAAATTCAGGTCTGGAAACATCTGAGTACCATTGCATCATTTATACTAATATATCCAATAAAGCCAAATCTACTTTGGCACACACATGAAAAACCATACAATTCAATCATGTAAAACTAAATACAGAGAAATTTAAGATACTCTGTACTAGAGATTACAATTTACCTTTGGCTGGAAGAATTTCACAGTGGATTATATATATTTATTTTTAGCCCCAAAAAAAGGAAAGTACAGGAAAGCAAATCAAGCTGATTTGATCTGGTGTAAATTAGAGCAAAGGAAAAGGAATCCACATCTGCTCATCACATTTCCAGCTCCAGCACAATATTGCTCTCTGTCCTCTTTCTGAATCACAATCATCTAACTAACCTGCCTGCCATGTGCAACAGGAGGCAATGCATTATACAATCAAATAACCGTAATGGAATTTGACAATAATGAACCTTTCCCTGTAATTTACAAGATAGGATGTCTGTGGGCAATTCCAGCTCAGAGCTCTCAGTGCTCTTCTGGTGTCCATTATGGTGGAAGGAAGCCAAACCCAGCCTACATCCTGGTAAATGGAGCCCACTGTGGTACCATCTACAGATGGAGACTGTGTTTTGGTTATCTATAATTTAGTGTGATTCTAAAATCTCATTTTGGGTACTGTACTCCACTTCTTAAGGCAAAGAAAAATGTAGACCAGGATGAGGGGAATCATTTATAGCAGAGGGGCCTGGGGAATGTTGAATGTGATCAAATTTTATTTATTGTTAATATGAAGAGTTGTTTGAAAGCTACGAAGTGTAGAAAGGCATTCTGAGTCTCAACAGTGAGGAGACTAGCAAAACCACTAATTGTTCAGTGTCTGTTTTCACGAATCAAGGCCTATGTGGTCGGCTCAAATACTCAGTCAAACACTGAGTGCAACCGCATGTGACAGAGAGAAAGCGAGAGGCGGCAAGACAACTAATATTCTTTACAAACACAAAATCACACCTCCCCTAAGCTCAGGAAACAGTAAAATAAGTTTCCATTGATTCATTCCAATGAAATATCTCACTAAACCTCTGTGATCTTCGATACTTTAGTTTTCACGTTTCCTTGCACACATAGTCCTGGAAAAAGCAGACTTTAATTAACAGGCTATTAAAAGTGACTTTGGAAGAGGAAATGAAAAAGTCTCTGTTCTGCCTCAGCTTTCTCCCAGGTGAGTGAGACAGATACTCCACATGAGCCTCTGCTGGCTGGCGGCTATGAAAAATTAGCCTGGGGCTCTGGTCCCCACGTGCACCAGAGAGGGCTAATTGAACAAACCCGTCTTGAATAATGTGCTGTATATTGGTGTAATCCTAATGATGAATGGATTTCGTGGCTGACATCAACAGCGAGCCAAATTTTGTGCCAATTTCAAAGTATCGTTCTTTTTCTAACCCCAGAAGCATAATACGGGTGAATAATTAGTGAAACACCATCCATTTCCTACAATTCCACATGTATTTGTTTTGCGGTAGTGTTGTTTATAATAATAATATAATATTATATATATATTCCATTAATAAAAAAAATAAACACTGAACTTTTGCATTTTTTTTTTCGATCAATCAAGCATATTACATTATAAAAAAGTCATAAATACCATTGTTATGCTGCAAGGTGTGGCATGCTGTACTGTAAATAGGTCAAGAGGGGGATCTCCCTATGTGAGGCCATCATAGTTCTCCTCATCAGCTGAGTCACAGCCACCCTCCTTCACCCACTGGCAGATAAACAAGGCCTTTTGCTGCCTGGTCTGTGTGTGTGTGTTGGAGGGAACAGCTGTCCATAGGGCAGGGCAACAGCTGAGGATGAGGGGGGGATACATAGAGACAGCTGTCGCCACTCCATTACCACACATGACAAAACTGCCCACCAAAACAACACACTGGGCTTTCCCTTACTGTCTCCCCTCATTCGCTTTCCATTACTCTCTCACCTCTGTCAACACGTCTGAAAACCCATATTCTTCTTATACACATCTTTTTTTAATGTACTTAAAAGCCCAGTATCTTACTAACAGGGACCTCGTTTAGGTGTTCTCTCAGCTGTATGGGTCGGAAGGCATAAGAGATTCAGAAAGAGGCTTGTCTGTCCATCCCCAAAAATCAGCCTGACATAGAAACACAAACTGCCAAGCACATGTCTGGAAAACAGGATTATATTACATTAAAACCACCCCCCACGCCCCCACCCCAAATTGTGTCTTATTAGAGAGTAGGACGAGTGCCACTATTATAAGTCATAAAAACGTGTATAACATTTTCGCAAAAGAGGAAAATACGAAAAGTTTTTCAATACTGTAATTCAGGACCAACATCAAACACTTCCATGACAAGTTTTCAAATTGTTACGCACACTGAAAGCCAGAGCCACAGTCTTTCTCTTTTACACTGCCATTCCAGGGCTTCAATAAATCTTCATTTCCAACACTTCAAAATAAAATCTAAGGCTAAACTTGTCTTTGTACTTGTCAGCTAGAGCTAAATTTATGAACACGAACAAAGACCCTCCTAAAAAGAGAGAGACAAAACTAGCCAGTGATATCACCAGAAGTCAACGTTCTGGAGCCCATGTTCTGGACACTGGACCAGAAAGTCAGGTATTGTTTTCAGGTGTAGGTGTATTGTTAAAATCAGAACAAAGTTGCAAAAACTGATTTCATGCTTTTAGTGAAACTCAAAAGACTGCAGATAGGAAGCAACTAGTGGCAAAATCTGCTACAAAGAATCTCTTCTCTTTGCTTGAGATCAATGTTTGTTGTTCGGTGTCACAGAAAAACACATTTAATGAAATGAAAAAAAAAAATTTTTTTGGTATGGTTTCAAATACTTGTCATGACTGTTGTTTCGAAGGATGTGCTGCCTTATCCCTGAATAACCTAAGCTTTCTTTTAAAATGGATTAATGTAAAAATAGCATTAACTGCCCTGGCATACATAAAGCACGGGGATGAATACCAAATGATTAGAGCTACTCTAAAGCTAAAAAGGGGCATTAAAGTAAGTTTTAGAGAAACTTTTCACACTTCGCTCTGCTTAGGCTTCAATTAATCCAACTAATGCAGCATATAGATAAAGTAATTAAATTAATTAAAGACATATTCATGAAAGCCTCTTCATTAACTTGGCTTTTCCAGGTCAAGGCCTAATTCTACCACAGTCTGACATGTGTCTGTCACTGGCTTTTTGCCTGTGAAAACTTCTTTATAAAGCAGTTTCAGAGAAGTGTATTTTTTCATTCTACAGCTGGTATCAAAGTGCACAGGAGGTGTGTATGAGATTAAAATCCAAAGACTGGTGCTCTACCTGGCCTTCCAGACGGGGTGCCGGCAGCAGTCACCACGGTACCTGCTGAGGCAGCGCCTGCTGTGGCTGTCAGAGGTGAAGGAGAACCCACAGGTGTCGACGGGTTGGATGGAAAACTACTGCTAGTGTGGTCAGGTGAGTAAATCTGTGGAAGCAGAGAGGAAGAGATAGAGTGTGAAGTAAGATTCATCATTAATGCACCATCAGCAGTCCTAAATAAAAATAAAATCTATATCACTGGTTGCTCTTTCTTCTGCTTTTTTTTTTTTTCCCAAGCCAAAACTGTGACATCAATTATGGGGATTTTACTGCAAGGGATGTCATGAAAATGCTCAGTGCATACTTATGAGATGTTTTCAGTCATCTGTGCTCAGAGCACGACCTCCACAAAATGAAACACAAACAATATTCACTTTGATGTTTTGTGCTCGTGTCTTCCTCTGTATCAACTACTGTAAGTGATTGTGGGTAAAGATTAACACCAAGAGACAAACGCTGTACAGCTGAACTGCTCCAATTAATGTTGCCTGATCATGACATTTGAACTTTTTTGAAACTGAGCTTTTAGTTACTTGTTTTAAATGTAATACTCATCAATTAATTAATGTCAAAATAAGTTTCAATATGAAAAATGTTTAAAAATTCTTATTGCACATGTAACAAATTAGTATTACACTTGTCACATCAAAATACGTTTAGTCTATTTTTAATCTCCTGTGTCTTTAAATTTGCTGACTCACAGGAAGAAGAAAAAAAGGGGCTGAATAATTCTGAATTTTCTGTTGCTCTATTAATGTAAACAAAATATTACCTCAGTAACTCCCCATCTCACTATGCTTTTTTGTTGCTGTTTGTGTGTCAGTGTGTTTGTATTTTGCATTCACAATTATTTAAGGAGCATGTAAGCGTGCTTCCATTGTATGCTGAGTGTTGTATGAGTTTTTTTGATTCCAACTGACATGAGAAAAACTGAAATCAAACAAGTAAATGCAAGTTTCACCCCTAATAGCCCTACACTAATAAATTACACATAACTTCAATGAATAAATAAGCATGATGAGTAACAGGCTGAATTAAGGTCGATACTTTGAGCATGATCTGCAGCTGAGAGTTCAGTGTTGTACCGACTGTACAGAGACTTATAAAACTTGCTGTTTTACAGGAGCATGGTTTGTTTTTAACTTGTGTTAGGACTCGGTCCCTGTTCGACTCACTCCATTTATTATTCCACTGTGGCTTCAAGAAGTGCAAACGCCCAACCTGGAAACCCTGTTAAGCCAACAAAAGAAAATCTCAAGCGTCGCATGTCAGACTGCACCAGACTGTATTGTGAATCATATATGAAAATCAAGCAGTATTCAAATGTTGTTTATTTTTGCATCTTTTTAAACTTTCTAATATCTATGAGGACCATAACTAGGGCAAAGGTCTTGGTTTTCTGCCTGATGCCACAAGCCGAGTCCAGGTTACCTCAGCTTTATTGCTATGATAATCACAGTAACTTTATTGTATCAGTGCGTTCTCCACTAGGTTACACCGAGGTCACTGAGTTTTAGGATGACATGTCAATCACAAGGGAACGAGGAGATTACGTCTTCAGAACTTCCACTGGGATTTCATTTGTTTAAACAAATGCTGGATTAAAGCACAAACACGTCCCTGATTGTTTTTTTTCCCTTTAATAAGAGGATATTGTGCCACAATGGAACATGTCTCAGAGAACTCAGGGTATTACGGGTGGATCCTGACTAATTAGCAGAGAAAAAAACAGCAGATCCTCAGAGATTTCTCCTCCAAGTTAAGATCAAATTGAGCTTGCAGGAAACCATTTGACTTCTGTGGGGATGATAGAATGCACTCATTATTAATAATCTCCTTATTCAATCTTGATCTCTGGGCTTTAGTTTTTCAATCAACTTGGAGTATCAGGATAGAGGTTTCATTGAAGTGTGTCACTGAGTGTGGAGGAGGAGGGATCGGCCCTTGTCTAAAGGGAGAAATGACTATTTATGCTTTTCTACACGCTCAGTGTTTCTCTCTGCACAGCATCTTCATTCTAACACATGCAATTCAGTCAAGAACGAAGGAGGATTAATCATGCGGCCACCACTGTGTCTGCAACCAATAAGACTCAAACAAATCTCCAAATATTTCTCACTTTCTCAAAAGCAAGTCCTTTATAACTGTGACTTCTGACCCGACAATATATGACTTTCTATTCTTTTCACTCACTGGCTACTAACGTTGCATTCAAAGTGAAACATGGCTCATTTTACTGGAATAAATGAAGCTCCGCCTCGTCATCAGTTACGCTCCCGCAGGCGGCATGGGGCCAATAAGCACGGCCAATTTAAAAGGGCGGAGAACAAAAGCTCCACAATGGGCGGCCCGTGGAGTTGAGCCAGAGCAGTTATAAACTCCCCTGTGCCCCCTGCTCCAAACACCCACCCCCACCCCAGTCCAACCGTGTCCATTTCACTCCAGCTTTGTCATGCTAATAGAACTGAGTCTGCAAATATAAAGGACTTAATTTGTTATTACCATCCCTAAACTCTCATATTTTGGATTCACACCGGTAAGAAATATTCCTCCTCAACAAACAGCCTGTGCTAGCAACTGTGAAATTAAACTGTTGTTACATCTAATACCAGTATTTTAATGCACACATCATGCCTATGCAACATATTAAACACTATTTTAGGACACTTTGCAGAATTAATAAGGTTTAGACTTCAAAAGCAAAATTTAAGACAAAGGCAAAAACAAACACAGTTCCTGAGACAGGATGTTATTCCACTTGAGGAGTAAGGGGAACAGTGAAGGGAACTGCTGAGGGGGCCCATTATGTTGAGCTGACTTCCACATAAGTCCACTTTCTACTGTTCTATACAACCCAAATCATTGTCATTTGGTTCAGTTGTGTTCAATTCAAACTCCATCCACCTGTGTCTCGGCTTTTGTTCTCCATACTGTACACCTTCTCCAAATTAGCTTGAGTCACAATTTTATTACAGTAAGGTTAAATGTTAAACCAGTGGATGGTTACTCTTGACTCTCTATTTTCATTTAATTTTTCTCTGTCACTGTCTTGCTTCAAGCTTTCCTGAGGGAAACAATTCTTGTATCCAGGTTATCCAGCTGTTTCTCTTATACTGTAAATATGAGGGAGAAAAAATCAGACCATAACCTATAATCTATCCATCAGTCAATGTGGGTAAACCCACAGGAAAGACACATGTCTTTCTCTGATGAACCTCTGTGAGCTACTGAGGGACAAATACTTCTTATGATGCTTTACAGGATGTCCCGGCTACTGATGTCTGGTTTTAGAAAGTAAAGAGTAATCCACTGGCTTTAGGAGTATTTTAAATGTACAATTCTCTTTCTTGAAAACTCTTAGTTTAAGCTCAAAATGTTCCAGGCTTAGGCCCAAAAACAACTACAAACATCTCCCCTGGGCTTTTTTAATCAGCATTCAGTATAGCACTTAATTCCTTGTATGATTACTGAGGTCACCTTCTTCAAAAACTGAAATGCAACATTATTTTATTTTGATTTGCAGAGGAAGTTTTTTGAGTGTATGGGTACATAGAAGTTATAATTGAGTTTAACAAACGGAGAGGAGGTCAAACTTGATGGGGATATGCAGAGACATCTGTGCTAGTTGACAGCAAAGCCACACTGATGCTATTGATAATGCATTTTCTGACAGGAGTTGATGAATTTTCCATAATGACCCATAGTTGATTCCAACTCTTTTTTAAAATCCAAATCTTGTTTAATTCACTTCAATCGGGGATGCATGGTATGATGGACTGAACTCCAAGTTAAAAGTGGGGATGTCACTCACCGAGGCTAAAGCCTTTCCTAATGCATCTCCAGTCTGTGAGCTTCCAGTGGCGTTCCCCCGATTTGCAGCAGCTAAGAAAACACAGAGAGAGACTTTGTAATAGCAGACTCAGACGAATGAAGAGCGGCCACAGTACACAAGGCAGCTGTCCAACAACCTGACTCGCTACCTTTACAGAATGGATGTTCATTAATAATTATATCGGGGCCATTGAATTAATCAATTTGAGCAGGTAGCTGACATGTTATCACAAGAACGTACCCATGATCGGCCCATCGGCTGTGTTGACGGACGGGGTGTGCGCTGCGGTGACGAATGGTGAAGTGCTGGTGTTGCTTCGATGGAAGCTGGACATGGGAGGAAGACTGGCATTGACATCTGGAGAGACTGAGTGTGCAGGGTAATTCTGGAAGATAAAAAACAGAAATGCTCTGTTTCCAGTCACAAGTGTGTGTGTGTGTGTGTGTGTGTGTGTGTGTGTGTGTGTGTGTGTGCCTGTGTGTGTGTGTTGAAGAAAGAGCTTATTTATTCTCTAAATTTTATATTCTCCTTTGACATCTCCCAGGCTGCGATGAAACAAAAGTTAGTGGGAGGAGGGACAGAGCTAAAGAGAGGGCAGGCAGCATCTGCAGGCTCCCTGTGATGCCCAGCCAGCTGAAGCAGGCAGACAGACAAGACCAGATCAAACACTGACACAAAGAGGGTCAGCAGTGCCTCCGCTGATAATAACCAGACAACAACTTAAGTGAACACACCCACTTCAACTGTGGAAGCTGTGCTGTGGGGGGGTGCAGGGCGGAGAAAGAATTCACGTGCCGTATGTGCTGAACGGTATACACTGGATCCTCTGCATAAATATGACGGCAAAACAAAGTTACTAACAATGATTTGTCACCTATTTATAGGCTTAGGTATCACCAGATGAGCGGTGCTGCTTACCAAACGGTCGTGTGAGTGCAGGCTGCTGTAGTTTCCTGACTGTGGCATGTGAGATGAAGATCCTGCGAGCATTCCCCCATAGCCGGGCTGGCTGATCCCATTGGACGAGTTCCACGGGTCAGACGAACTGTGGGTACCATCTAATAATAATAATAATAATAATAAATAATTTTACTTTATTATTGAATAGAATTGAGGGCCACATTACGTAGCTTTGACTCAGTACCAGACAGCGCCTAACCTCCAACCCTACCCTTATAACTTCCAAGGAGGGGGGTCATTCAAGGAGTACTCTTTTTCTTTTTTTTTTTCTTTGCTCTTGGGACTAAAACATAATCCTTGTCCTGAACACAGCTGAGATAACACAGAGCTAAAACCAACAAGAAGTCTGCTTTTCTGTCTAGATCTGGAAGTCAGTCACACTGAAATAAAGACTGACCACAGACTAAATATTACTGAATACTGCTAAAACAACTGCGTCTGTCTGGTAACATCAACGTATCAGCATAGCAAAATAATCAACAAAATAATACACAGACTTTACCAATGCTACACAAAAACAAAGGGAACACCATTTTGAAATGTATGTGGTATAAGAGGGCATTAAGAATAAAAATATGACGTTAAACTCAACTGCAGCACAACTGTAGGTGATTTTGTAAAGTTGGGAACTTCATTTTGAACTTACCAAAGAAAGTGCTTGCAAACATACTGCTGGAGGGTTTAGGAGAAGAGTAAGAAGGTGAATCTCTGTTGAAGTCTTCTGAGTTTGGAGACGGTGCGTACACCTGCAGGGAGAACGTAAATGTTATTAGTACAGCCCACTGTGCTGTAGCATTGGGGAATCAAAGTGTAGAGTACAGAGGCATTACTGTCATTCATAGTATTGTCAAGTATGATGATGCTAAAACCCATAAAAACTGTGAGCTCTCTTATCCCAATTCCCGTAAAGTAAACACATTCAACAAGAATGCAAAGTATAATCACAATTAGGAACTTGACACACAAGTATGTGATCTCACACGCATATACACATGCACTCAAGATATGGCCCTAAAACCACAAACACACACACGCACGCACACATATGCACACTTTAATGACTAGCAAGCAGTCAAGCTCATGAAGGGAGGAGTGGATTATCAGGGGTATTTGCATTTCAGATCAACTCAACCTCTAATGGAAGTATAATGATACCCGCTTACATGCATAGACTAAATGCCTGGCAAATTACAGCTTTCCCAGAGAGGCAGAAATCAAATAAGTGGTACAAAAACAGCCTGCTTTGCTTTCTTTATATTTGTACCTTCAAGCTGGTGGGAGAGTGAAAGGAGATGCACAGTGGGCATGCTGTTGTACAGCTGTGTGTGTGCCAAGCTAGGTGGGAGGATCAAAGACACTGAAGGCCAGTGATGTGGTCTCTGACTTCATCCACTCCAGATGGAGGGAGAGAGGGTGAGGGAGAGAGACAGAGCACAGGGGAGTGAAGAGGGGAGAGAAGGTTTGAACAAATTCTCCCTCCCACAGACAAGACTGGATGACCCCACCGTCATGTAGCACTAATGAGAGCCAGACCTGCCAGCTAGATTCCACCTGCACATTTCCAGCTTGTGTCCCATCGTCTCTTTTAAAGGCCTCACATCGCACTCAGCTGTTGGCATTAAGACAGCTCGCTCCTCAAAGATTGCTTTGTAATGCCCGCAGATGATGACAGCCAAAAAGGTTGTTTATTTGCATGGGTTTTTCTTTATGACACAGCGCTGACGGGGAATACGCATCACAACTAAAGTATATAAATTCAATCACTTGCTTATTATATCTATGCAGAACGCAGCTTAAGGGGGACTCAGGGCTGTTGGGCTTTGCTGAGTGAGCAGGACTCCAGCGGGATGTTGTCTGGGTGTGTAATTAAAGTGCTCTGGGAGGGGCTGAGCTCTCATGGGTCTTCTGGCTTACACATGTGACCAGGGTTGATAGTAGTTCCATGGAGATCTCAGGTTAGCCTCACACAGGAGCCCGGGCTTTTGTCTTTTGCCTCTGTCAGACGCTCAATGTGCAGCATATGGCAGCGGGTAATGCTAATTGTCCTTTTTACCCTGGGCTAACCAGTCAAGGCATTAATAAACCATCCCAAACACTGGGTGCCTCATTCCGCCGGCCTATGGAACAGAGGGCCCGCCTGGGTTTCCTTTTACAAGGCCATTAATTAAAAGCCGTCACTCACACGGATCAGCACACCAACACAGACCTACATCGTCTGTTTGAGAAGCAGCGGGTATGTTTTATAAATAAATAAGTACATTCCCTTCTGTCCCTTCTATTGATCACTGATGTTCATAGACCTTAAACTCATCTCTATTAACAATAAAAGTATCCTTGTGTTAGTGTTCAGTTTGGGATTGCATGTTTACACAACACCAAATCTACAACAATAAAATTTAGAGTCAGCACCAAAGTTGCATTGAGTTAGCTTCTATTTACATCTTCTGACGCATCAACGCTCCGCCAGGACAAAAAAATGAGATATTGCAGATTTTTTTTTTTTTAAATAAATCACAGACACAAAGACAAAGTTGAGAAAAACCATAATGACAGTAAAAATGTATTCCATTTCCCCTCAGCAATGACCTGACAGCTATTTATAACTAACTACACAAGAGAGTAAGGCAAACAAGAAGTGAATGATAAGCTATGAAGACTTATGATTTAAGGTAGCGATGGTAGAAACATTTTGATATTGATGATAATACCCTGCTTCAGATAAAAGATTCTCTATTCAGTTGAATTATTGGTTAAATTCTGTGACTTGACTTTCAACAGCACTCTACCTCAACTGCGAAGTGACTATATCCCGCACACCTTCCGCCATGTCTCAAAGCCCGTGGTACCCCGCCTTTGAAGTTCATGCCATCCCGATTAAAATACCAAATGTTAAAACACAATCTGTCAGCCAACACTAAAGATAATAACAAGAACGGAAAGGATATATAAAAAAACAAAACTAGGGAAATATCAGGCTGATGGCCAAGAAGCTCAAAGAGAAGAGTTCAAACGCTCTCTTAATGGCCTGTCCTGTTTTTGTGCTGTATGTCATTACTTGGAATCGATCCATATCTCTGGGGCATTTTGTTTCAAGTTCAAATATTACACACTTACAAGGTTTCGTAGGCACAACAGACACAATGCCTGCTCAACACTTACACGTGATACCTGCCAGTGCTTTCTAGAAAGTCAAGGGCTCAGTATTGTCATGCATAAAACTGTGACATTAAACCTATTCTCAAAAAGACTAACTTTCACTGGCACAACGTTTTAATAGATCAAGTTAGTTTGACAAGAGGAACATTTTAAGCGAGATGCCCACGTTTCCAAGGCTATGACCTCTAAGGAAACATTTCACACTTTTTTGGTTGAGTTTGAAAAAACTTGATCAAGTACCTTTTTGTCATATTGTGCTAAAATGATATTCAAAAAGGGCAAGAGCTGCCATGGCCATATAGAGAATTTGAAATATTAAAATTTTCAAAAGCCTGTTCAATTCACTCTAATGGAAGAAGTAGGTGCTCTCACAAATAAATAAATTAAATCTAGCTATACAACAAGTAACATTCAACCACTGGTGGAAAACAGCTTAGATAGAACAGAATATTCATATTTATAAATATATATCTATAATATATAGAACCTATATATTACATGACTTTAGATGTAATTTAATAGAAACAAGTAATTGAAGATATTTGCTTTTCTTCTTGTTTGTAAAGCAGTAAAATCTTTTGACCAAGCGCACATTCTGACAGCAGAGCTGCCGACTGGGAGTCAGGTTCTCTAAAAATAGAGCAGCCACACTGCAGGATAATATCTTCCAGTCGTTAATGCCACAAAAATTTGGATTTGGCATCAGTGTAACTTCATTAACTATTCACAACATGTGTGTTGTGCACATATGATAGGTCAACACACACACACAAACACCCCACCACCACCCCCACACTGACTTTGTGTTGCACATGCAGTCAAGCATGAGTGCTTGACTGCATGTGCAACACATGTGCACATTAGGGGGATGTAAGGATTAGCTTCTGTTGATGAGTGCTAACTTCTAGAAAGCACGATGGAACCTGTTGCGTTACAAAACAAAAACAAAAACAGGCATGTCCCATCTAAAAGAACACATGTTGTCTCTTTTGTGTTTTTTACTATTCCTTACATTCCTCCTGTGTGTAGGGGGGGGGGGGCTTTTTGTGAAGCAAAACGAGAAAAAAAAGGTCTAACAATCACTGCAGGGCTTTCACTTCAATTTTTTCTTTTTCACTAATAGGCAACGGAAGAAAGATCAGTGAGTTGCTCCATCTGTATTGGTTCCGTGCCACCAGCTCACAAGCCAATGGCCCACTGTGAATTCTCCCAGTGCTCCAGATGGTGAGCTGCTATGCAACTCTGCATTATAACAAATTAATGTAGATCAAGTTGATGCAAAGAATGAGCACCATCTTTCTTTTCCCTTGCAAGGAAAACAGAAAAAAAAGTTGATGCTGGTTACTTAAAAAGTGCTTTTGATCATAAAGTTTGCCTGTTCTGTCCACATGCTATCAATTTTCTCCCCATCACCAACTGTAACACAAGCCTGTTAATACTTAATATGAAAAAGATCAAAGTCATCTTTTGTGTAGCGGGAACAAAGAGGAAATGCTGTAATGGGTTATAAGGAAAGTTGAAACACAAGCTTGAGTAAGATGACCTTTTTAATAAAATATCATAAAAACCTAACCTCTTTATTTTTCCTTCAAAATGCATGTGCCCTTTATATAATAGCAAAAATAGCACAGGCAATGACAGGTGGAAATCTGCATGTGTAATTTGCTTATGACAGGATCATTACTTAAGGATTACTGCACTACAGAGCTCATTCAGCCATTGTTAGACTATGTCCTTGAGCAGATTCATAAGCCCACTGGATTGTTTTTTACCATAACTTTTTTACCATAAAGACAGGAGAAGACCCATCTAAGAACTTTCTGCAACACAAGCGCGACCAATAACTTTACTCAAAACAACAGCGCCTTCAAATCCAAGTGCAGCAAGAGCACGCACATGGACGCACATTCACAGAAAACTATACATGTATTTACAAAAAAGTATTCACACAGTGAACGTTTTCAGAGGAACAAAAATCAAAGAGGTCATTACAGAGAAGTTCAGAAATCACATTAGGCTCCCTGTGGCGTCAAGAATGCAAAAGTGATTAAAAACAGATGGAATAACAGCAACACTGGTGCTTGGAGCTCAATCTGCAAACAGGAAAGTCTAACCTCAACAGGCAGCCTCTTTCCCTTAATCATTCCCAGACTCCCACTTGTTATTATTTCAACCCAGTCTCAGAGCTGAAGCAACCAGCCAGTAAAAATAAATTCAAGGCTGCAAAAAACTTTTTTCTGCTGCACCATTTCATTCTGTGCATGATCAAAAGTTTTTAAAATTTTATGTGTTGCCTAGAATATTTACTTGTTTGTGCACAGCTGGGGAACAAAGTAGAATAAAAACCACACTACAATAAGTTTATAACATAGTTAAGACACTGCAGTATTTTAATTCTACTGTCACACAGCTTTAACTGATGTAATGGAAAATCAGTAAGAGGAGCCTTGGGCACATGCATTCACACACACACAGGAACACAGTGCTTTTATCTTAAAATAAACAAAACACAAAAATTAAGGACACAAGGATAGTCAGATGGACGAGCAGAGTGAGACCAACAGTCACTCTCTCTCTCTCTCTCTCTCAC